TTGTTGGAGAGTAGTTTAGATAGGATGGAGGAAAATATTCTTGTCACTACTACTAAGTTGGAGAAGATATTTCCATGTGGTTTCTTTGATGTGATGGAGCATCTTCCAATTCACCTTGTGCAAGAGGCCCGCCTCGGAGGTCCAGTTCAAACAAGCTGGATATATCCATTTGAGAGGTTTTCATTTGAAATATTCACTAAGTTATATATATTCGTCTTTTATATATTAACATATATATACATATATGCATGCAGAAAAATTGGTAGTTCGAAGCAAACGATTAAGCAAAGGGGAAGGATCGAAGGATCATTTGTTCAAGGTCATATTGGGAGAGAAACTGGTAATTTTTATTCTTATTACTTTGGTGATGATGTGTCATGTAGGAGAAACAGGCCCAATTGCAATGATGAAGGCGATATTGATCCTTTATTTCCACTGATATCAATTTTTAATCAAAATGGTCGAGGATCTAAAAAGCGTGGAAAGCGAGGCTTCACTAATATGGAAATGCAATCATCTGTGCCACATATTTTGCTTAATTGTCCAGAGATTCAACCATACGTCAAGTAAGTGTTAAAAATATGTTATTAAATTACATACTAATAAGTGATCATTAACTAACGAAATACTTGAATGTAAAATGATCAGCTTGTTCGTAAACACATGGGGTAATGAAGCCATCTATACAGAATTTTCCAAATGGCTGAGGAATTATGTAAGTGTGCAATCACTAAGTATTTAATAATATATTCATGTTATACTAAATTATATTACTTGAAATAACAATCACGTATGTTTACGATGAATACTCAAGTGTCCAACATTTGCAATTAAGTGAAAGAAGTAGCACTTGGACCTGAATCTCAAGTACTGACAATGAATAAGTATTGTGTCAATGGTTTTAAGTTTCAAACCGAAGAAATTTCTAGCAACAAGAAAACAAATAATAGCGGTGTCTACATACAAGGTGATGCTGATGGTACTGGTCAAACTATTGAATATTATGGTGTCATTCAAGAGATTCTTGAAGTGAGGTATTCAAGTTTGCCTAAGAAGAAGATTGTACTGTTTTGGTGTGAGTGGTTTGACCCATAACATAGAGGCACAAAGATGGACCATCAACATAATATAATTGAAGTTAAGTACATCAGAAAATACAGAAGTTATAATCCTTTTATTATTGCACAAAATGCTAAACAAGTGTATTACGCTCATATCCATTGCGTAGAGACAGAGCTGATTGGTGGGTTGTTATAAAAAGTAGCCTGTGGGAGGAATTGAAATTGACAATGTCTTAGATGTGGCGTATCAAAATGATGTTGTAATTGTTCAACAACAAGTTGATGTTGAAATGGAAACCACACTACAACATCCTCAACACATATTAGAAGTAGTATCTGATGATGAGATACTGAATGTTGAGGAAGAAATATCCGAGAATGAGGAAAATGAATCATTTGATGACGAAGAATGGGACGATAATGAAAATGAAACAACTGAGGAGGAAGAATGGGAGAATGATGGAATTGAAACAAGCGAGGAGGAATAGTGTAGAATGAAAGATAGCTAGTATATATATGTAAGTGTATTTTGCTAATTTTATTAAGTTATGATTTTTATATATATTATACATGTAAATTTTCATACAGATGTCATCAGGCGGTGACAGTGATAGACATCGCGAGCATCTTGGAGTTAGCCAGACTAAATAGGCTAATAAGAAGAAGTCTAGGAGACCCATAGATGCTGAGGATATTACAAGATCTATTTCTCCTGCGCCAGAGCGCATCAGCCATGATACTCATTTATTTGCTGTTCTGTTTGGTACGACGGATCCTCAACAATATTATCCTAATTACCGTCGACCAGTCAGTGCTTCATCTACTTCATATGCATTACCTTCATGACGCTACGAGGACCTACCTTTACAGGCTATTCGTCAAGCACGACCCTTATCTGCAGGTACTCCATCTCCCACAGGTACATCTCCTTAGTTATCTACCATGAGGATTGGAGATTCTAGTAGCGAGCAGTCAGATGCTATGGCCGGTATGCCTCCAATGACTCAACGTTTTGTGCATCCTGATGTATCACCCTCGTCTACAACTATACCTAGTGCTACACCAGATGATACGATGCCTGCTCTAGCTCCTGGCCAGAAGGACAAACTTGGTAGAGTCATGATTGAGCTGGATGGATCATCGTAAGTTTGTTTTGTTATCTATTTGTTAGTTTATTTATTTATTTCTTATACTTTAATATATTATTCATGAACTAACATATTTATTATGTGTTTTGCAGGTGGAATCCTGCAAAGGATGCTGCCCGGACTTTAAAAGACTGTGTTAGAAGAGTCTATACACAAGCTTATTACTCTTGGAGCGAGATTCCAAACAGTATACGCCAGACGATGTTTAATAACTTTAAGGTATATATTTTTAATTAAGTTTAGTATACTTTACTTTTTTTACTATCGATCTAATTATTTATTCAATTTTTTTTCAAACTATGTGTACTTGGGAGTCAAGGTACAATTTGGTCATTGGAACCACATTTGAGCGAAAGGCATCCGCCAAATTGTCTACCTAGCTAAAGAAAGTTCGGGATAGTGGTGAACGTCCTGGTTGGATGTTGCCTCATGTTTTTGATGAATGGGGTCAGTATTGGAACACAGACAAGTTTAAGGCAATATCAGATCAAGCCAAAAAGGCTAGATGCAGTCTTAAATGTGGCTTGTTTCACACCGAAGGTGCAAAGACGGTTGAAACAATTGCACGAGAGATGGTAAGTTCTAATTCAAACTTTTAAATAAATAATTAGTTGATTCATATATATCGTTATAAATTTCAGTTTTTATTTATAGGAAAAAGAATTGGGACACACTCCCATTGAACCGGAGGTTTTCAAAAAGACTCATGTCGAAAGAAAGAAAATGAGTCGGATCCGGATGTGTGGGTGGAGGAAAGGGCCGAACGAACTTTTGTAAGTTATTTAAGATGAATAATATATATTAATAGTGAATATATTTATGATCTGTATATATATATTGATGTCAATTTTTATATTTAATATGCAGAATGACTTTCATTAGTATATCGCTGAGAATCTAGATAGTTCGGTCCAATTGACACCTAAACTTTCCACCCAGATTTGGAAAGAAAAAGTGGTAGGGGGGACACACAAGGGTAGAGTCTACGGTCTAGGCTCTCGAAACGATGTAAGACGACTCCAGTCAGGCTTAGAAGGTATTGGATCGTCACGTCAAGCCGAGGCACTTGATGGTGTTAAGATTGCTGCTATGTCAGATCAAATAGCTAAACTTACAGCGACACTAGTAGAGTCAGAGTGGAGAAGAGTAGCTGAACAAGAAAGCATGAGTGAGACCGTTCAACAAATCAAAGAACAAGTGATGAACCTCGCTCGTCGACCTACTACTTCGGCTCCCGATGACACTGACGACGAGAGTGATGCGGATGATTATGTATATCCCATTCCCTAGTTTAGATCTCTGGACATTTATGAACTTTTTGAAATTTTGAAACGAATTTTGAAAGACTTTATAAGTCTTTAATTTGTGATTTAGATACTTTTAAATGTTATTTTAAATTTGTTGTTTTATGTTTTGTTTAGATTGTGTGTGTTTGATTGGACTGAATAGTGTAGAGTTGAATTGAATTGCATTTGCAGATGGGTAGCAGAAACTGCCAGTTCTGCTGTCAAAAATAGTGCAGGAATAGTGACGGACAGCGTGGTTTTGTCCGTCACTTTTCTGGGTTTATTTTTTTTAACAATTCCAGAAAAGCGACGAACAGCGTGGATTTGTCCGTCATTTTTCAAAAATAAAATTTCCAAAAAGCGACGGACAAGGTCCTTTTGTCCGTCGCTTTTCTGGGATTTTCAAAAATAAAATTTCCAGAAAAGCGACGGACAGGGTACTTTTGCCCGTCACTTTTTTGGGATTTTCAAAAATAAAATTTCCAGAAAAGCGATGGACTGTGTCACCTTTTAGAAATAAAAAAAATTAAAATTAAAATAGTCCGTCGCTTTTGTTAAAAAAAATCTAAAACAAAAAAAAATCAAAAAGCGATGCAGTCCGTCACTTTTTGAAAAGCGTCGAGCTAAAAAGCGACAGAGGTGACTGCGTCTCTTTTTCGTCGATTTTGACCAAAAGAGCGACGCAGTCCGTTGCTTTTGACCGTCATTTTTTGACAGGCTTTTAGTTGTGTCGGTATCAAACTTGGCGTGAAATAGTTTATATAGAACGTCAATGATTGAAAATATGTTGCAAAATGAGGGCTTTGGGGAAGGTTTACGAATCTCTAATTCCGTGTAAGCCACTATAGCGGATGTCACGCTACTATAGCGGGAAAAATTGTGCAGGCGCTATAGCGGGATAAGTTGGGTTTTAATCCGGAAAGTTCCCAAAGCCTTTTATTTTCTGTATATCTTTCTTAGGAATTAAAATGAAAGGTGATTTAGGGAAATTTCCATAAGTTTTTCCACTGATTTCCTTGATAAAGGTAAGTGACTTACTTCCCTATATTGTAAATTGATTCTTAAGCCTTAGAATCTAGGATATTCCTCTTAAGGGAGGGCTTTGACTTGAATTGATGATGGAAAATCCTGATCGGGGTAGAATGATCATGAATTGACATAGAGTTAGGATTTGAGTATAATTCGGGTAGTTTTGGGTCATTTGTCCTTCATTGTTGTATTTTATTATTGTTTTAGACCAAGAACAAGTCAAAGCATTACAAAAAGGGAAAGCTCAGACTCTTTAGAGTTTCCAAGGATTGATTCGAGGTAGGTGACGGTTTGTTTGTTTTCCAAAGTATGTAATGTATGCATGTTAACTGCTTTGTAGTATTATTTGTGCGATACATGTGGGGGAAACTAGAAGGCTAATGTAAAATCACTTCATGTGGTAATCTCATGCAGTGAACCTATTTATTTACTTATGGTTTCAAATTGATTGTTCATTGTGATTGTGCATGTTGTTTGTGTTTGATGGTTGACTCACGTACCATGCCAGTACATGATACTAATGATTGACTCGGATACCACACATAGTATGAATCATTAATGATTGGGTCGGATATCATGCTGGTACACTAATCGTTTATGTGTGGCTTTCATGAGAGGATTAAGTATGTGTATTTTGTGATCATATGAGACATGTTTCACATGCATGGGTAAGTCAAGGTTGTGATTGAGAATCTGTATTATGTTGTGTCTGTTGGTATATGTGTTAACATGTATTACTATTTTGTAGTTACTTGTTTACAATCATATTTTGGAAATGGCAGTATGATATGCACATTGTGTACTGATACTGTACTTACTCTTTTCTTGTTGAGTACATGGCATATTTAGGCAGTTGATACGAGACCTCAGTTGAGAAACGGCGTGACCTTCGAATCCAATGGTAAGTTGCTCTTTTGGACTGTCATGGATTCTTCTCCATTTCTTAGTCTATCTTTTCGGACTTAGACATTTCATAGACTTTAGTTTATTGTTTTCTAAGTTTTCGGGGTTCCATCCTCATTTTCGACTATTTAGAGTTATGGTACTACGACTTTTATATTCTAGAGAGTTAAATTTCGCAAATGAATTTTATTAAATGATGGAGTTTATGAAAACTCTAGTCTTTATCTATTTTTAACTGTTATTTCGTTGTTTTATTTCATGATTTGATATCTATAGTAAATCTTGATTGGTTAAGTTGGGTTAGTAATTCATTTTTTCACCGAGGAATTAGTATGGATGTCACTCAGTGACAAGATCGTGACAAATCCATCTATATATTTCGACAATTATAAGATCCTCAATATATAGCTATTTTGACCAATGATTCACCATTATAATTTATTTGTTTCTTAAAGTGAATTTATTAGGATTTCTTCAAAAGTCAATCAAGAAAATAAGATAAAGAGATAAGTATTAAATTTGCAAAATTATTTTTCTTATGATACAAGATATGTTGTTTGAAACATTCTATGTTGACATGTTTGGGTTGGCTATCAATATTCATTATATTAATGTCATAAGTTCAATTAATTGGTGTCATGACTTTGGGAGATTTATTGAAAGTGATCTTTTACCTATTTAATATGTTACAACTTGAGTCGATTAATCTAGACCATTTATAAATGATGCACTAAATCCTAGGAGCAAGCAACATAATTTGATCACACACTATTACAAATAAAGATTTTTTTAAAGTGTGAATTAATGAAAAAGTTGTATATAAAAATAGTTTTTCTACTCATTTCGTATTGAATCAGTTCACCGACAAAATGAACGATGACAAACAATTTTTTGCTAAAATAATGAAAAACTTTCTAATTTGATCGGGAATTGACGCATGGAATCTTCAATTTTTTTGAAATAAAATTTATATATTTGTAAACTACGTAAAAGTACTACAAGTCACAATAATTGAAAATTCAAAATGTTTAAAAAATCTATGAAAAATTTACGGTCAAAGATAGACTTTTTTGAATCTTGAAATTCGAAAAGTGCCACATAAAATGGAACGCTGGGAATATTATTTTTTCTTTTCTAATCAATTCAATCAAAATATCCGTGACAATAGCCGATCAATATTATTAAATGGAAAATTTCAATCAAGATTCATTGTATCATTTTGTGCAGAGCATGTATTTGAAAATTGAAAATCAACCCTTAGATTTTGTCTTTAATTTTAAATATTAAAAAATAGCTATCATCCAAACATTATTCTATTTATACAATATTTTACACACCTCGTACAATTACAATATGTCACTTTATACCTAGTCATATATTGGAACATGTACTAGAAAAACATTTTCCTTATAGTACGTGACGATAACGATATTTTGCTTGGTTCGTCATTGCTTAGGGAAAAATAAATAAAGACTTTATTTATTAGGAATTAGACTTGAGTGAAAATTTTAAGTTTATATGACTAAAGTATTTCTCTCCATGAGAAGATAACTAGTATGTTGTATTATCTAAAAAAAAAAAAGAGGTTTTGCATTTGAGTTATAAGAATGAAGAAATTTTTGATAGAAAGTATCTGTACTCTTTACTAAATGACAATAATTTGCCACTCTTTTTTTACTATATAAAACCGAATAATGATTTATACATGTGAAAGCAAAATGAAGTATTAACAAGATAATGAAAAGTATACAAAACGGTGAAGTATACAAACGAATAATGATTTTTCAGAAGTCTAATAAATAAGTATTTGCGATGAGTTTAGCTTACCCACACCGATGGTATAAAATATTAATTTGTACACATGACATTTAATTTATAATGATGGATTATTTACCATGTTTTATAGGTTAATGATTCAAATTTTCTATTAAACGATACATATTTTAAAAAACGTTTGTTCTCTATTTTAATAAAATGCGGGAATCTATCTATATATAATAGGAGAGGAAATAGTGCCACATGTCGGCACCACAAAATTTCTAATTATTAATTTCTATATATATTAAATAATAAAAAACAATTTAAAAGCTAAATAAAATTTTAAAACAGTTTTAAAATCATGTACGTTACAAACGGTTGATTTAGTCTCTTTTTTGAAAAACAATAATAAATTGAATTTCGTTTATTCCTTATACAATTCAAACTCACTACCGTTTTCATGTTTGAATGTAATACAATTTCCCACAAAATTTTATTTATTTATTTTTAAATAGAAGAGACAAAATTGTCAGCATATATATATACTAGAAGGGCATGGCCCGTACTTAGCACGGGCCCAGCATAGTTGATTTTTTCTCGATAAATAATAAAGTATGCTGAAAATTATTCAGCTATATTTATTGCAAAGAAAAAAATTATTCAAGTTGTGTATATGAATTAGCGAAAGGGATGATCAAGTATGGAAATAAAATGTTTTCACTCAAGCATCTGCAAAATCATTGATAAGGTAAGACTACATAAAATATTGACTCAAATTTGCACCCAAACGAAATAATCAAAAAGTAAGAAAGGGAGAATGCTCGAAGTTGTTAGAAACATTCTGCATTTACAGACATTACTAATAATGTGTCAACATCTGGACTATCCAATGTACTATGGAGAACATCAACTTTTCAACTTTTTGTACATATCTAACTCTTCTGTGCCCAGACATTACTATTTGTTGTTCCCTGCAAATTATTTGAAAGTGCACACACCAAAAATAATCAGCACAACTTCTTGTTAAGATTTGGTGAGTTTTCATCTCCCATGACATGACAATAGTTAAAGTAAACTCCTGGAAAAATGGCTGGATATATTAAGATGTCTACAAAAAAAAGAAGAGGGTGTAGATAAAATCTCTCCATCCATATTCCACTTATTACATAATAAAATAAAAATAATCACCAGAAAAAGTAAAACTTACTTGATTGAAGTAGCACTGGATACATTCTTAATACCTTGCCTCTTTCTTTCTTTCTTTAATTAGTCTGCAAGGATGTTAAAGAGTTCCATTAACATCTAAAAAATATCTTCATTTTAATACTCGAATAGAATTATTAAATAAGGTCCGATGTCGATGAGACTTCTCTTTGCTAAAATAGTCCTCAATAAAAGTTTAAGAGAGGATAAACTAACTAAAATTCTTAAATACTTGAATTATTAGACTTGTCAAAGAATAGAAAATTGACAATTCATCTAAGCTTCTCATTACTATTATTTCTTTAAATGGTGATTTAGTGTGTTCAATGATACAATAATTTGTGCTCAGTGCTCCTAGTAAGAAAATTGTCATTGAAGCATTGGAATGAGAAAAACAAATCCTTTATGCAGAGTTTAAAAGCTACATCTTTTATTTTCTTCAAATGATCATACAATTTTGCTCTTGCTTGTAGTGTTATCGAACTTGTAATAGGGGGAGGGATATAGTTTATAACAATAAGAGCATTGTCAAGTTATCTTGTACAGTTGTTTCTGACCTTGGCTACAATTACATGAATCATGTAGAAGTTGGCAAGGAGGAGGTAAGAATCTTGCCTTTTCTGTTATTGCTATATTTGCAATAAGCAATTTATAGTTATGAATCTATGGTATTGATTGTTATTATTGTTCTACAAAAAATAATGTACTCGTACAAATGGAGAAACAGGATATGCACCTGAGAGCCCTCTATTTGACTAACATACTCCCTTTTGATCTCCCCCATACCTTCATATCAAAGCTGGGAATGATTGACTTTCGGATTATTCTGACAGTTAGTAGAGAGAACGACTCGTGACACAATCTAAATCAAAGGCATGTTTCTATGGACTCTGCCAAAAAGAACTTAGCAAAATATGTTCTTTACTTGATATATAATTGTAAAAAATAAATATAAATGCATGACATTGAAAGTGTTTTGCAACCATCTGTAATATTGACATTGCCATCCAACATGAGTCATACGCTAACTTTTCTTTTTCGCATCTGTCCATCACCTCCCGGAGAAGCCAAAATAAGTAGTTTGGAAGATTATAATTCACAATAAAGTTCCTGCAAGTTCATATACATTATTATTTCATTAATAAGAAATAACCAAACAACCATTGTGCAAGAAATGAGAAACAAAGAGTCAATGGCTAAGTATTCGGTATTTGAATTTCATCACTGAACTATGAACTATCACCAACTATTTGTCAAAACACAAGTCAACCATCAATAGTTTACTTCTCCAATGTGAACATATAGTGATATTTCAGATAAGAAACTCACTTCTCCTTCAGTTCAGGTAATTTTTTCAGCCTTCACTCTTTAAACAAATAAAGAAAAGTGGCAGATTCAATCATTTTGAAAATTTCATCAAACTTGTGATGCAATTGCTACAACACTTGAAGAGAAAATCTGATCAAGCAAGCTCAAAATAACAATAAAACAACACCAACACCACATAAAAAGGAAAGAAAGAGAGAAAAAAACAGCTCAAAGTAGCATAAAAGGTCCAGATTGGAACAAAGGACATTCCCAAACTTCATGTCACCTGATGAAACATGGATATAACAACAGGAAATGATAAAGAAGAAAAAAAAGATAGCTTTTCAGGATCACCACCCTTATCAGGTTCATCTAACCAATTTTACTATACAAATTGAATAAATACATGAACTCTAAGAAGCACCTCAACTAAACACTTACACATCCTAAAATGTCACCTTTAATCATCCTAGCTCTTAATCTAAAGACTCTGAACAAACACAACAGCATAACAACAACAAAAAGCACCACCCCAACACATAAAAAGAGAAAAACGCTTAAGTAGCACAACAAGCCCTCCCTCCCCCCTCCCCCCCAATCCAAAAAAATCTTAGCAGCCCAACATAGTTGAATTCGGTGTCGTCTTTTTCACCTTAACAATACAACTAAAGTAATTTAACTATATGGATAGAGCATGACATTTTTATGTACATG